CATCGAGCTTATGAAGTGGAAATCCATGGAATGTATTACTGAGATGATACGACATGTACATTTTACTAATAACTAACTGTAGTGGGCCCACGCAAAACACTGTAGCACGAATGTGCACGTCCATCCGGGTAAGCACCATGACCTCTCAGAAGACCAGCGTGAAGTAGAAGCATTATAATTCTGCGTTTCGTCTGGTAAGTGATGTAGTCGGTGCTCATTAATTAAAAAATAGCAAGCACCCATCTGCATCTGAGTGTTGCAAATGGCAGCTGAGCGGCAATGGAGTGTGGCAGTGGTTATCACTTAACCTCGGGCGAACCTCCAGCTAGCTTGCCACATAGTCACACAAAAAAAACTTAGTCTAAACTATTTTACTTGGTGCTAATACATTATCCCAGCCAGCCGAGATTTTTTCTGAGTTACACGCACGTGTTTAGTCCTTAGAGGTCAAGGTTCTAGTCGTGTTTTTTTATCGGATTCTTATCGTCGACCGGTTTGGTGAGTTTAACTTCGAAGGCATACAACATTATCACAACTACCTGATTATTGTTATTTACACTGCATTCCTTCCATTATATTACTTGGATGGATTTATAATGTAGCTTCCAAAGGTAAGTTTAAGGTTTACAAGAATATAAATTATATTTTTTATTTATGTACAAAATAAATAAGCTCGGAACAGGTTGAAACTGCGTGAATCTCAAACAAAAATATGGTGGTAACAATTTCAGGTATTATTTCATTACTGTTGACCTGCATTTGTTAGTAAAATGAATTATTTAAATAGTCATATGGAACGAACTACTGATGCAATACGAATTAGCTGTATGCATTGTACACGGACGAAATTCCCACCAAACGGGACCAGCTGCCCGAATGGATTGAAAGTAGTGGATGTCAGAAAACGTTCTCAGGACGTCCGCCATCTACATCCGGCAAAATGTCAACAAAACCACGGTGGAGCTGCGATTTTTGTATTATTTTTTGTATAACTCTTCGCACTGTACTTGCTAAATTCCGGTGTTAAATTGCACTAAATAAACCAGTAGAGCATTCGTGCTCTTAGGGACTTCATAAAAGTTATTGAAAATCGTGTTAGTTTTATATAACAGGTAGTGCGAATGGGGCGATACAACCTAGATGAGACCTATTGCCATCAGGCATCTCTTTTAACTGTAAAAAAAAAAGATCACTACTTTTTTTAAAATTAACCTTTAAAACTTTACTCCAAACCCCGTCAAAAGTTGGGTGTTCAGATCTTTTTTTTATGTGAAAAGTTGTCAAACGAGCAGACGGTTCACGTACCGACGTCCATTGACATCTGCTACACCCGAGGGCTCCAGATGTGTTGACAAACTTTCGTCCGGCCACTTCACTCACCAGACGAAACGCGAAAGTATTATACTTCCACTTTACACCGGTCTTCTGAGGTCGTGGTACTTACCCGGACTAGCCTGAACATTCGTGCAACAGCCAAGGCGGCTGCGTACCACCATAATTCAAATATTAAACAATGCCTAAAGAATCTGGTAGCAGTAAGAAATAGTGATAACTTTCACCAACATGACATGGTATCTTACTAAGGGGAAACGTTTATCATTTAATGAAGCTAAAGCTTAACGCTTCGAGGAAACTGCTGTCAAATATGGGCTGGTACTGCAAATTTTCAACTAACTTATTCAAACTCATTAAAGCGGCGTTTCAAAACGCTCTTTGGTGACTCACCAAGGCAAGAATGACTGTTGCCCAATCTCTAGCACTGACTAGCAAAGGCATAAAATAACAGTTTATCGTTATTTTATGTTTTCATTTATATTCAAAAGCGACCCGCCCGGCTTCGCACGGGTGCGATCCTGAATGTTTGTTTTCGGCATTGCATTAGAAACCTCTAAAATTATTAGTGTTTCTCTACTATAACGTGCATAAATTATACATATAAACCTTCTTCTTGAATCACCCTATCTATTAAAGAAAACCGCATCAAAATTCGTGGCGTAGTTTTTAAAACCTAAACAATATAGGGACAGACAGACAGCGGGAGGACTTTGTTTTATAATATGAAGTGAAGAAGTAGACGCACGGTTGGTATTGTGTTAATGAGACTAGGTGTTCTAATCAAATTTTCCTATAAACGGAAAAAGGTGAAGGAAATATTGTGAGGATATGCATATTTTATATATATTAAGAAAAAAAATGTATTTCGAAAATATGTGAATTCTGCCAATCCGCAGCGGACTCATGTGGTGGACTATGCTCATGGGACATGTATAGGCTGTTATTTTACGTACTGTTTTACAACAGCATATAAACATAACAACTTGTTTTGAGAGTTTGTTTAGAGTTAAAATAATCACACCTAAAGCCGTCTAACAAGATAGATAGACTCATACCATATATATCATTTAGGTTATATATATAACAGTACGTGTTTGGTTAAGCCCTTCTTGCTGGACAACCGCCGAGAGTTATGCTTAATCGTATTGCGAAACCTACCACTGCCTGGCGTGATATTTGCGATTGTGGAAAGTGCGAGATCGTTGATAACTTCCTCGTATTCCGTAAGGAAATAGTCATGACAAGCAGAGTGCCTGGAAGGCCACTGCCTTGAAAAGGAAACAGAAAAAGGCCGCCATACTTTACGCGCATAACTTTTTCACCCCGATACAAGGTTCTTAGAATTGTAAAATTAGGGACATACCTGCGTCTGTCGATCGGCACAGGGATTTTGAGGGATGCTACTTCGTTTGGATAGACACCACTAACCATGTCGCCAGAGCGTGTGTACTTGAAAGAGGGCTGATAAGGAACCAGTCGTGTTAGGCCTTGCGTAAGAATTGACTTAGCAGTTAAAATAAAGATAACCTAAAAGATTGATAATATCAAATTAATTAAAACCAAAGACCATAAATTTTTATTAATTTTCTTTCTTCTTGAAGTTTTTTGTTATTTTTTTTATATCTGCGAAAAACAGCTTTTTTTTATAATTTGCCAAAAATGTTGTAGATACCTCAAAACGTTTGAATATGTGTTTTTCACAGAACGGTTATTCAGAGCTGATAGCTCTTAGTTTCCTTGTTTATGACATAGTTGACACTTAAAAGGGATACTGACCACATAATTTATTACATTATGCTTATTTTACATTTTTCAGAAAATAACAAAAATTAACAACCTTATATATGTTTTTCTGTTCAAACTATTCTTTATGTGCAATTTAATATGGAAAAAAATGTATTTTATTTCATTAATTTATAATTATTATATTTCATTTAGGGAGATTTTTTGAGAAGTGCCCAAATTTACACAGGAGGTTCAGACTCGGTAGTATAATCGAATTATTGAAATAAAAAACAGAGCTTTTTTTTCCAAAAAAAAAAAAAATGCCATTCTATTACCTTAAAAACATAAAGTGTTGACAATGTCAATGGTAGTCATTCATAAATACCTAAATTTTACTGTGTAAAATAAATTACTTGCGTATAAATCACGCACTTTTTGAGATAAGTTCAAATTAATGTAATTAATTGCTTAAGAGTGATTTGAAATATTTATATTTTTTTATATAACATTATTTATGTCTAGAATATAAAAAAATGGATACACTTACAAAAGTCACTCTGTATATTATTTATTACAAATGTATTATTTTTAATTATTTCATAAGTAGCATATGTAATATATTTACGTCTTTTTTATTCAGTAACATGAAAATATAACTTATACCTAATTTGTACGTATATAATATACGTGCGAATTTGGTATAAGATTTATAAATAAAGTAAGTACAAATAATTAAAATTCTAATAAAGAAGCTTTCTTACTTCCTAATCTAATCCTCGCGCAACAGGAAAAGAAAACAAAAATTCACTAAGTAATTATTTATCTTGAACATTAAAAACGAGTCCATTATGACTCGATTGAGTAGAAAAGGTGTGCTTATTTTATATTATCATCTAAAGACTAGTTGAGATTGGACAGCAAGCTTAGTCAGATACCTCTAAGCGTGCGTTCACGATATTTTTGCGAGTAGTCAAATATTATATGTAATTTCGCATTAAACTAAATTCAAACACCTTTGAATAAAATGTGACGGGACAACAATTATTACATAGTACTGTGTAAATACTATAAGAGTGATTACTATTAATTAGTGCTATTAGTGATAGTCGTTTCATTTGTTGTTAATTATATCCAAGTCATTGAAAGAAATGACATTATAAACCAGTGGTATTAAAAAAAAAGTTATCATGCAATTTTATCGTAGAACATTGATACTTCACTTGTTTTTAGTAACAGGTTTCGTAAAGGTTGATAGTGCTCGCATATTAGCAGTTTTTCCAACGCCATCGATCAGCCATCAAGTTGTGTTTCGTCCATTGACACAGGAATTGGCAAAGCGCGGACATGAAGTCGTTGTAATTACAACAGATCCGATGTTTCCGAATGAAGGGGTGTTTCCTAATTTAACTGAAATTAATTTGCACGACGTATCATACCTGGCTAAGGAAAAGATTATTCAGGAATCGAAACCGAAAAACCGGAGCCCTTTGGCGCAGATATTTAAAATCACTGAAATGTTTTCCGATCTATTAGAACAACAGCTTAAAACAGACGAGTTTCAAAAAATATTGCGCAACAACAATACTCATTATGATCTCCTTATAATAGAAGCATGGGTTAGACCAATATTAGTTTTATCACATATATTCAAAGCACCAGTGATTCAGATAAGCTCATTTGGAAGTTTGCTGTACAATAATGAAGCATTAGGTGTGCCAATACATCCTATTGTATTTCCGACTTTTATACACCAAAAAACTTACAACTTGTCTTTTTGGGATAAGGTAAAGGAAATTCACACTTTCGTGTGGTTTAAATATATTATTGCAAGAAGTGAAAAGGCGGAAAATGCAATGTTACGACGGGTATTTGGCCCTGATACTCCAACGGTAGCTGAATTGTCAAATAACATAGACTTATTGCTACTAAATAATCATCCAATGTGGGCTGGGAACGTTCCAGTGCCTCCTAATGTTATTTTTATCGGAGGCATGTACCGGGGAGTAAAGAAAAAAATCCCAGAGGTAATTCTGGCTTAAGTATATAAATTACGAAAGAAAATTTATTTGATTTGAAATTAATCGAAAAAGTTCAAAGTTTACAGTAAAAAAAGATCAGATGAGTTTAATTATGTAGTTCTCGATACAACCGAATAAAATATGAGGCAAACGTTACTTCTGTTATTAAGAGAGAGAAAAATATCTTCTGTTATAAGGTATATGAACATATTTTTTTGTCAATTGCAGGATCTGAATTTGTTTCTGAATTCATCCCAGAATGGTGTGATATACTTTAGTCTGGGTACCAACGTTAAAAGTTCACATATCTCCCCTGAAATAGTAAGAATATTCTTCGACGTATTCTCTCAACTGCCGTATGATGTTTTATGGAAGTGGGACGGAGATGAATTACCAGGAAGATCACACAATATCAAAACATCGAAATGGTTCCCGCAGTCAGATTTACTACGTAAGCATTAAATCGTTGCGTACTATTTGAAATTAAAGTTTAAAATATTCTATGAAACAAAACAAAATGAAATAATAATACAACTTTAATGAAATTGAAAATTTGGTAAAAACCTATAAATATTAAACGTAGGTGACTATATACATTTTAAGTTTATTTTAAGCATTTTTAAATTCAAACATCTTTCTAAAATACTATACATAATTCAATTAATATAAGCAATATAAATTAATTTGCTTAAAAGCGCAAAAAAACAAAAAAAATGCTTTCTATTTGTCGATGTAACGGTGAAAAGTTTGTTGAAGGTTTGCTGAATTCACAGAACTCTACTCGAAGATATTAAACATATGCATTTTTGATCCACCTACAACACAGCTTAAGGACCGGTACGGACTGTAGAAATTATGGTGTGTGAAGATCTATAAATCGCTTCAAAAATATAACGAGGTTAGTTAACACTATTTCGGTCAGCAATCGCTCCTTTCCCAATTAACACTTTGTTAATTTTAAGCTCTGTAATCGAAATATGATTTTATCACCTTAACTATTATTTTAGTGTTTCACATTATACTTTGGTGAAAATAAGCATATTACGCTTAAGTATACTTTTAATTTCAAAAGTAAAGTATTTAGTATGAAGAGTGTATTTTTCATGTCCTTTTAAGTGGTAGTAAATGAGATACTACGTAAATTTTAGATAGTTTGATAAAAATATCAATTAATGGTTTAATATTATATCGGAACTGTTTCTTAAAACATATATGGTCACCTACATTCTAGCTGAATAACTCAAAATGTAGATAACTGTGCATACATAGATAACAGTGCATTTGTAATATAAAGAATATGATGTTTTGATACAAGTGGCACTGAGCAAAAAACTACAGGCCATAAAATAAGCTGTTGCCATTAAAACATTTTAAAAATCGTAAGGTGAAAACAGCTTACATAACTGTAAAAATAAAATTATAATTATGTATCTGGACGAGAAAAACCTGAAGCTTACTATATTATTGTTTGGCAATTTGACAACAGTTCTGGTTTTGTAAGTGTCCACGGTTCCAGGGAATGGCTTGCTGAGCTACAATCTCATTGAACCGAATTAAATTCCGATTTGAGACTGAATTAAATAGGTCTTACACTGCTTGATATATAAAATTGCGGTATAAAATTCCAGATCATCCAAAGATAAAATTATTTATAACACATGGGGGACTCCAGTCCACTGAAGAGGCTATAGCTGCTGGAGTGCCATTAATTGGTATTCCATTTTACGGTGATCAATGGTACAATTCAGAGAAATATGTTCAATTCCAAATTGGAGTTAAACTTGACATTAATAGTATCACGAAAGATAACCTCCGAGAAGCAATTATTACGGTCATCGAAGATGAAAGGTAACTTTATATCTGGTTGTAAGTGTTTGAACTGTGAGAAATTCCTGCTACAACAATAACTAAGTTATCCATTCGTGAGAAGTTATTGATTCATTTTACATAATTATGATTATACAAGTAAACAAAAAGAAACAGCCTATACATTTATATTTGGCCCCATCTATTCAGCGGCCCAAATGATGATATTTGAACCCCAAAAAGGGGTACGCATTGGTCACGAAATGGATATCGATTAATAATAATAAGTCAATACTTTGACGCTAACGACAGAGACTTTAAATTTCTAAGGTAATCGGAAAAAAATTGCCGACTCAAATTAATCTTTCATTAAAAGATATTAATATATCGCATCAGAGATCAAATTATTGTGAAAGTATTGACACATACGCTTTGTTGTTGATAGGGTATTCGATTACTTTGAATGATTATTATTTTAAAACTATTTACGTGTTATTATCAGTATTTCTAAGCATTAACTGTAACCTTTTCAGTTTTCGTCACAACATGATCAGACTTCGCTTGTTAATGAACGATCAGCCGCAATGTCCCCTCGAACGCGCTGTGTGGTGGGCAGAGCACGTTCTGCGGCAAGGCGGAGCCAGGCATTTGCGTTGTCCTACGGCAAATATAACGTGGACCGAATATCTGGAAATTGAAGTGCTAGCCATAATAACCCTTTTCCTTTTAACACTATTCAGTATTATCATCTGGATTTTGAGATGTTTATTGAGGTCTGCGAGCTACATGTTCTCTAACGTCAAATTAAAATCTGATTAATGTTTTGTTTCCATATATTGTAGTCGGGATAATATTTATCATAATTATAGACATGTAATAATTTATGACAAAGATATCTAACGGGAAATGTAATAATCAACTAATGAGTAAAATATTTATTGCAATGGCCTTTCTTTTGACCCGTGAATGTATTTATGAATCATAATCATTAACAGAGGAAGACAAATATTGTTGAACAAAGCAAAAAAAAAAAAAGAATATTAATAGAATTCCTTTGAAAAATAGCTCAGTGTCCGGGCGCTCGCCTTTAATTCAATATACTCGAGCAACCTGAGTCCGATCCCTGGTGCCGGCACCAAGGAACTTTAAGTGCTGACTTATCACGTGCTCCGCGGTGAAGGAAAACATCGTGAGGAAACTTGCATATTTTCAAAATATTAACAAAATAAAATGTTTCGAAGATATGTGCCGCATATATCCGCTAATCCACAGTGGGGCCGCGTGGCGGACAATGCCCTGATACCCTCTGTATAGAGGAGGCCTTTGCCCAGCAGTGGGACATGTATAGGCTGTAACTTTACTTTTTTTTACTTTGAAAAACCACACTTAAAAGACATTTTTATTTTCATCCAGTGGCCCATGAGCCATCTCAATGTTATCGGTCTAGAGGGAGTCTATCGAAAACATGCAGCAGTCTCTACTTTTGTTGCACGTTGTAATTCAAAAAATTCCAACCCCAAGCACATTTCCTTCAAAACGAACGAAAGCTTTCGACGTTTTTGATGATATCATGTGTCCGCAACCTTCTTGAAGATTTTTTTTATATTTGTCCCTACCATGTATAGATTTTGCTGTTAAACGAAAGGAAAGGCTTGTCTGGAAAATTACCTCAACCTTCCAGAAGACCCTGAACGACTTCTGGTTTGGTCTGGCGAGTTTAGTAAGGGTCCCACTTTGTCGTAGGATACTAATGTAACGCATTTGTAATATATATTCATGGGCGGCAGTAATTACCTAAAATCAAGTGAAGCGCCTACTCGCTTTACTTTGGTTTCCCATAAAAATAAAGTTTTAGTTAATAATAGTATACTAAAAGCATACATACAACGCCTGCATTTAAGTTTATCATTTTCAGGTCACCTGTCAGCTATGTTTCTAATATTGTTGTTTGCACCACAATTGCTCTAATATTATTTGTAGGCACATTAAAACCTTGACTACGAGTATACGCATAACATATCATAAAACAAATACCTGAATAACGAAGTCGACTTTGGTCGTATGGTCGCGGTTTAATAGTTCACATAAACAAAAAATGTTTTAGAAATTTATAACTCGTTAAAATAAATTATTGCCCTAGATTATTTTTAAGTTGGGATTGATAGAAATTCTGATGGCGTCTATTGGAAATTCCAAGTTAGCTGATGTTGGAATCTAATTTCTTCACCCAGTGTGTCTTGTACGTCTATGGAATAAGGGGTAACAAATTAACAATATCAGTGACGTGACGTGTTACACTTTCTTACATTTATTATTAAAGTTATGTGCCGGCTTATTTTTAACCTTAATCTTCTTAGTAATTAATTAGTAAGGAGCATAACGATAAAGATACTAAAATGTTCAAACCACTTATTAATGCTAATGATAACAATAATATACTATTTCAACGCAATTTGCATAATTATGTTCAACTGAACTGCATACTTGTATTATTAACAATTTAGTTGCAACAAAATTGCAAATTTTATATTTACGATGAACATTGACAGAGTTTTATGTCGGTCACGTTATATCCAGATAAAGCATGGTTTAGCCTACAATAATTTAACTTTGCTGGGGCTATATTAATGTATATATTTTACAGAAGTAATAATAGCATCCATGCATTTTTACTTTATGATGCAAGAAAAGAATGACTAAATTGATTTTAAATTTATGTCCAGTAAGTAAATTGTTCATACACATTATTCAACTTTCACCTAAATATGCCATGTAGTCAGATATAGTTCATAATACTATAGTTGTTTTTTACTTCTCTTATGAATTGTAAGAAAATATAAGAAAAGAAATAATGCATCAGTCAGCAACCGTCCTAAAACTTAAAAAAAAGTAATGTAAGAAACGTGATAAAGAGTCAACATAAGAGTATTTCCTTAATGGTTTGTGCCATTTACATTCGATAGCAATGGGCGCATTGAAATTATTTTTAGTTAGTGTATTTTTAAGATTAGCACATATTCGTACAGCTCGCATATTAGCAATATTTCCAACACCATCAATAAGTCATCAAATTGTATTTCGTCCGTTAACGCAAGAGCTTGTAAGAAGGGGCCATGAAGTCACCGTTATAACCACCGATCCGGTTAATTCCAGCGATCCGGATTTGGTAAACCTAATAGAGATTGATTTGCACAATATTTCTTATTCATTGAAAAATGAGGATCTACTGAATACGTATGGACGTGATCAATTCCAACATTCACAAATTTTTATCCTGGCAAATCATTTCATTGATATTTTTGAAAAACAATTGCAAACTAAGGAATTACAGTTGATACTTCGTAAAGGTGAAAAGTACTACGATATATTACTATTAGAAGCTTGTTTTAGACCAGCGTTGGTTTTTTCTCACATTTTTAAAGCGCCTGTAATTCAAGTTAGTTCTTTAGGTGGCATGTTGATCAATTATGAAGCGATAGGCGTGCCAATACATCCATTGGTATATTTCACAACACTGAGACAAAAGCTTTACAAGCTCTCTTTCTGGGATAAGTTAATGGAACTGAAAATGTTTTTATATGTTTCATATGGCCACTTTATAAGTGAAAATTTGCAAAATTCGATGTTAAGAAGACATTTTGGTACAACAGTACCGACAATCTCCGAATTAAATAACAATATTGATATGTTGTTTCTTGCAACAAATCCAATATGGGCAGGAAATATTCCAGTACCACCTAGTGTCATTTTCATAGGTGGAATTCACGAAACCCTTAAGGAAGGAAAAATGAAAAAGGTAATAAATAATCCCAATACATATAAATCTTCTAATAAAAATATTCGCAAGTAGCTTATTGTAAGGAATACGTTATGATGTCGCTAACAATTTCAGTTTTAAAATTATACAAAAGTAATGAATTTCGGTGATAATTTTGTGTCATTTGGCTAGTAATTTTCTTTGTACTAAACAGCAACAACATTACCATTACATTATTTTGTACTTTAAATTAATGAATATTTATAACAAATTATTAAAACTTG